AAAATCCTTTCATTTCTAGCTAACCAAATTGTCCATACAACAGCAAACCAAATGCAGCTCCAGTCCTCTTTTTTCCCTACCATTTTGATTACGGAGGAGTGTTGATGGAATACCTGTAAGCAATCTTTGTCCAGAGCTGATTTTATCCCCCACCATCTGAAGCATGCATTCCAAAGGTTGTGGGCAACACTACAGTGGATGAAAAGGTGGCTGGCTTCCTCTGTTTGGCTACCGCATAAATCACACCTACCGTCCTCTATGCCATGAGTTATACCCCTTTTGATTAAATTGATCTTTGTAGGTATTTTATCTTGTAGCACTTGCCATGAGAATGATGAAAATTTGTTTGGCACAATTGTGTTCCAGACTTTGTGGAGAGCCAACTCTTGTTGTTCCGTTCCGTGCTCCCTTGTAAGTGCTTGGTAAGCTGACTTTGATGAATAATCTCCATCTTTGCTATGACTCCAGTCCCATGTATCATCTTTTCCTCTTGTGATTGTACTATCTTTGATCATTTTCATGAGCTCTGATACTTCTTGTTCTTCCTAGCTATGCAATCTTCTTCTCCATTCCAAATGATGTCCATGTTCCGTTGAGCCACCCTCCCGACTGTGAAATTTTGTAATCCTTTCCTGCAGATAATAAATAAAGCCTAGGGAATCTGTTCGCCAATTGACCTCCTTCACACCAATTATCCCACCAGAATTTTATGCTACCCCCGTTTCCCACTCTAATCAGTCCTTGAGTCATATTGATGGTGAACTCCATCTGCCAAACCGCAAGAAACCACCCCACGATTGCTCTCCATTAGAGAACATCTACCGCATCACCTTCCGGTGGCAGCCTACCAGGGCAAAGGATTTAGGCAGGCCATTAGCACCGTCACCACTCTCTGCATCTGCTTCCATGGCGCAAGCTTATTTTCCAGCCTAACAGCCAAACCCTTCCCTTTGTTCCACTCCTCACTCCACATCTCCAACCTCGCACCACTATTTTCCCCTTCGCTTCATTACCATTAGATGGTCGGAACTCAGAAGAATTCCAAATTCACAGTTTGTTTCATGTTGGAGTCAAAGAAACAAGATCCTCGAATGAAACCATTACAGAGGAGGTGGGATCAAATGATATTAAGGATACCCGGATCTAAACACCCACACATGTAGCGGAGAAGCTAGCCCAAAAGAGATCCGAGAAGACAACATACCTAGTCGCCGTCGTGATGTCCAGTTTCGGCATCACTTCCTTGGCCATTATGTTTGTTTACTATAGTTTTTCTAGGCAAATGGAGGTCTATTCCTTCTTTTCCCCTCCCCTGTTTTCCTTATAATATACAGTGGTTGAATTCTAAAATTGGATTTTCTTTCGTTTAAAAAGGGTTGAGAGAAAGAAAGAAAACGGAGATGAAAGAGGCAAAGAAAGAGTTGACACTTGAAAGGACTCAAACTCTCCAAACAAACAGGTTAAAGAATCCCAACTAACATTAGTATTTGCAGAGAAAAGCAAACGCACAAAAAGAATGCGTTAGTAATGTCTGTTCATCAAGACTATTGCTATTAGTTTTGTAGAGAGAATCTATAACGGTATTCCTCTAACAACTGCTGCTGCCGCAAATTTAACCCGGTGGGAATTGGCTTCTCCTTTGAGGACATTAGGTAATGCTTTGTTTTGTGGTTCAATTGTTTTTATCATTTTCAAAAATATTTCATAAATTTTTAATTGAGCATCTACTTTTCAAAGTTAAAGGTTCTTTCTTTCTTTCTGAGGTTTATAGCAAAGTTTTAAAAATCGATCCGGAGGTCAAACTGTTTTGACTTTCGGTTTTTGGTTTAGCTAAGTTAACCGGTTCAATCGTTCAAACCGCCAGGTCAATTGAAATGAATAAATATAATGTTGTGTAGTATTTTGACAAATCAGGCGCTGTGAATCAACTAGTTTGTAACCCTGCCCATTGTGGAGGAGGCATAAGTTCGAGCATGCTCCATGTTAAAATGTATGTAGAGTGTTTATA